CTTTCTCTTTTACTCCGACGAAGGACTAGCGTCCGAAACGTCAGTAAGTTTTTTCATCTTTTCACGGTGTATAATTTACCTTTTCATCATTACTGCATACCGTACAGTGTACCAATACAGTGGGAAGCCTTTCTTATGTCAGTGCATACCTTATAGTGTACCAAGACCCCTCTATGCTTTATTCTTAGACATTCTTTTCCTTGTATGTAGAGCGATATCGCATACAGTGTGACGCCTTTGAGGGAATGTGGCTTGTGTTGTACGAGCTCGTGAAACGACTTGAAGCACACTACAAAAAGATTAGGGTGAGTAAATCATGAGATGATTCAGGTGTATTTTAGATGTAAATCAACAGCATCGACTTTAGTAGGTCTTTTCTAAGTTACAACAAACAAGGCGCACTCTGCAGATCTAGCTTCTGTAAAGACAGCACTGTATAACGCACGAAGAACAAATGATGTTTGTACTGAAGAATCAGAATGCAGCATATTAAAGATACCCAGTGTACGTAATTGTGACGCAAGATTTCTTCCCAATCATACTAAATCCTATTCTATGTGGCTTTTCTATCAGGATAACGTAGCATTCCGTGCGTCGTTCATGGGCCCATTACCACTACAGGAATACTACGAGCTGGTTGATGCTCATTTCGAGGTGAGATTTTTTCAGACCAAAAGTTTTTTTTACCAAGCTGGCTAAATCTGCCATTTTATGACCATCGGAGTAAAGATTGAAAAGGTGATCATTAGGCTTCCTTTATCTGAAAATTAGCCTTTGTTCTTAGGCTCATATTCTTGCGCACGTACCTCTCATGGGGCATCTCTCCACCCAGTTGTATAAATGGGTAACAGAAAATTGGTATTACCCATGATTCCTCCATCTATTACCACATCTATTACATAACTTTATTTAACTTAGCCTTTATTCCATTCTGTGGTAAAGGTTTTAAAAACGTTTTTCGGTCATCTTTCTGTTGTTATTATTATTTATTTGGGAAGCATGGGTGGCGTAGCGTTGAGAGCGCTCAACTCTCATCAATGCGACCCGGGTTCCGCCGAGTCCCGCTGGGCTCGGTGTCGTATGTGAGTGGAGTTGTTTGTTGGTTCTCTCCTGTGCTTCGAGGGTTTTCCGGGTTCTCTGGCTTTCCTCCCTCCGCAAAAATCAACTCTAAATTCCAATTGGAATTTCAGTGGATGAAGAGCCACTCTGTAGAAATGTCACTGCTAAATCCTATTTTTCATTCCTTCTAGCAAAGACAACACCAGGTGCGATACCGAGAGATACTAGCACAGCGAGCACAGCAGTTTCGCTCAATACAAAGACGGTTATTAACGAGATTCAAGGACAAGACACCAGCACCTCTATCAAACCTTGACACTCTATTAGATGGAACATACAGACAGGTATGACACTGCCGTGTTGTATTACACAACTTTGAGTGTAATTAACTTTTGTATACTACAAACGAGAACGCTACGCTATCTTTATTAAAGAAAGTTTATAAAAGTTTTTTCGAGTTGCTGTAGCGCGCTTGATCAATCTAATTTGTCTAACCCCGCCGAGGTTCGGTGTTGCATGTGAGTAGAGTTGTTTGTTGGTTCTCTCCTGTGCTTCGAGGGTTTTCCGGGTTCTCCGGTTTTCCTCTTTTTTCCTCTTTCCTCCTGTTTTGGCTATTAAGTGCTACCCTCGTGAAAAAAAAAAAAAAAAAAAAGAAAAAAGAAAAAAGGACGGTTCAATGGGCTATAATACTGGCACCGCTTGAAGCTCTTATTAGCATTTGCAAAGCGTGCGTCCTATTAGGAGGGACATGGATAATCGTGACTGGAATATATAGAAACGATAAGCATATACATACAAGTACGTTTATTCAGTCAGGACGCGCATGCAGACTGGAATATGTTTAGGTTATTAGGATATTATTAGTTTATGTCTACAAGGGTATTATTGAAAACATTGGCAGTCGTACCATAGCTAGTGCAATTCTGTCCAGGACACGCATGCAGACAGGGATATGTTTAGCCTATTAGGATATTATTAGTTTATGTCTATAAGGGTATTATTGAAAACATTGGCAGTTGTACCATAGTTAGTGCAATTATGTCCAGGACGCGTATGCACACAGGGATATGTTTAGCCTATTAGGATATTATTAGTTTATGTCTATAAGGGTATTATTGAAAACATTAGCAGTTGTACCATGGTTAGTGCAATTATGTCCAGGACACGCATGCAGACATGGATGTGTTTAGGCTGTTACGATATTATTAGTTTATATGTCTATAAGGGTATTATTGAAAACATTAGCAGTTGTACCTTAGTTAGTGCAATTCTATCCAAGTATCTCATTCGATTGACCACAGTTACTGAAATGAAAAAGATAACTTCACAAGGATATTGTGCCACAGGCCTCGTTTAACATTATTGACTCCGACGAAGGAATAACGTCCGAAACGTCAGTCTACTATCTTTCGTACCTATGGTGATAGGGGGATAGAATTATCTACTACGACACACTTGTTTAACACTTTTTACTGTTTGTTTGTTTTTCTCGTTTAGTTACTGGCTCTCAGCGAGGCAGAAGAAGAATGCGAGAGAGCTATAGAGCAGTGTTCTGTTGCTTTATCTTGCGCAACACGATTAATTAACTTCCTCATCAAGTACGTAAATGAAACTTATCCATGATTTTTGATATCTGGGGGTATGGTTTAAAAGGGGATCGGATGGATCACATTTCACCGAAAAAATTATTTTAGAAAATTACGATTCATTTCGTTAGCGAATAACTTTTCAAGAAAAAATTTGTCATTTCATATATTTTTGCAAAAAGGGGCTATTCACGAATCAGAAAAATTCCCTTTAGCACCTTCCTTCTTTTGTTGGCCCCTTAACAAATCAAGCTTAGATTTCCAGGAAGTTAAGTTGAACTTCCCGTAAATATGGCACACCTTGCAAGGGAAGCACGGGTGGCCTGCGATGCTAATGCATCTTACCAATATGATCAGGGTTCGATTCCTGTGGCGCTTGGTGTCGTATGTTAGTAGAGTCGTTCGTTGGTTCTATCCTTCGCTTGTGGGGCTTTTCTCCGGGTTAATCTGTCTTTCTTTCTCCGCAAAAATCAGATATGGTTAACCTCTTGTATATATCTCCATTTGCACTACGATGCGAATAAATTGGTTATTTTTTCTTGTTCTTTTAGATTATGGACCAACATGTCGGACAAAGAATTTGAAGTTCTAGAGACAGTGATGTCACCTATAGTGTCTCAGACAGAAGATCAGGTAACTATGCTTGTTTTAAATTATTATAATTGCAGACAGGATTCATAATAATAGTTGAACTGTTTGCCTCTGACTTTTATCTTATTTACCCTTCAAAGACAAACTGTTCAAGTATAAATATAGCTCTTACATGTAACTTGAATTCTTTTTTTCTCTTCATTTCATTTTCTTTTCAATTATCATTCCATCTTATTTCAGCCTATTCCACTTCATTTCTATTTGTTTTGCACTTACTTCATTTTCTTCCATTTTATTACCATCTTCAGCATCACATTTTTTTATCCTATCCCATTTCGTTATGGATAATAAGTCTTCTATTTGAATTTTCAGGGCTGGGAAGAAATGACTGATGCTGCCATCTCTCATCTTCTAAGGACTTGCTTATCTAAAAGTGCTAAAGATCAGGCAGGTAGGTGTAAAATAGAAACTCGTTGGTATTATCATATACTAGCATCTTTCAGCATTCTGAACAATCTTCTACATTCTGTGACAAGCATTCTCTTGATATCATGATAGGCATTTTCTGAGTTCGATAAACAGGATGCATTGTGGTCTAGATTCGGTACAAACAACACCATATAAGGCATGATGAGCAAAAGGCTAGACCAGAATGCACCATGTTCGCTATATCTTCACTGCATAATTATTAACACGTCACAGTAGTTAGGTCATGGGATGACATCCGCGACTGTTGTGATAATGAGGTAAACAGCGAGAAAAAGGATCATCAAGACCACCGCTACCAGGGGAGGGGAGGGGAGCGGGGTAGGTAAAACTCGGCTTCCGACGCTCCTAACGACGTTACGCAATAATTCCAACAAAACATCATACGTGAAGTCAATTAATTATGCAGCGCAAATAGTGATAAATGATGGTGCTTATAATGTTGGATATTGTTACAACTACCTCCTTGCTGCAGCCACACGTAATCTGAAGATTATTGTGATTCTTATTGATAGTGGGTATCACGCCGTTGGCGATGCCCAAAGACACCAGTAAACTAAAGAAACACATAGCACTACTATGCGACCGCCTTAACAAAGGAGGGAAGTTGGACCTGAGTATGACGTCAGGCCAGCAAGCCAGTGAATTATCCATGGTGCAACAGCAAAGACAAATCAAAGCCTTAGAACCCTTGGATGAAATGCAAGAAGACGAGGAAGACGAGACAGGTAAATAATAGTAAATAATAATTTTTAATCGTTTAAAAATAGGTCATTGAAGCTTAATACTAGATTTTTCTAATTTAAATTTTTTTTTTATTCAATTTTTCTAATTCAACGAGTTACCTTTTTCAGTCCACAAATATGCGTAACTAATTAGTTATTCGACATGGCAGTGTCTGTATCGTTTATATTGTTCATTTATCCTCTCCTCTTTCATTAATATTCTCAGACAATCGGGCTATAGGCTATGCATGCGTTATAGGTATTTTTGAAGGAAACTTACTCTTGAAAATTTTGACACACTTGTGTTTCTATACCCTTTATCCTCTTATCCTTTTCCGGCCCCGAGTGTCTTGTAAGACCAACACATTGGCTGATCACAGGTTAAATAACAGATCGTACTCTTGTCAACTCCTATCACTTCGCTATGAAATGCTCAGCTTGAGCGGGTATTTACTTGGCTGGTTAGCTCTAGTGATCCCACACCCTACCTTTTCAACTTAGATTGAACGGAACTTTATAATTGTCTAGACGGAGCACCAAATGGTGGACTTCCTCCTCTGAATGATAGCAGAAATGGTAAGCTACCTCAAATAAACCTCGAAAAACCAGCAGCAGACCTCAGCAAGAGGGTACTTGTGGCGAAAGGTAGCGATGAAGAGAGCATGGTATCCAGGGGCGTAGCAGCTGCCATGATACCGAACGGGACGTAAAACGTGTGTGAGAGAAACAGAATATTTGTGTGAGTATGACACCCCGAGAGTGCAAGCACGATGCTTCAACACAAGAAGGTGACTGAGTCAAGGTGAATGAGTAATCAATACTCACGGATTGGTAGTTGGATGAGAGGATTTAATGACAGAGAAGAAAAATTCGACTCAGAACTGGAAAATTTATTGGCAAATGTTCATATCATCCACGATTTCTTTTATCAAGTTTTGTACTTGACTGCATGCACTGAAATTGCTTGACGCCATTGCAATTGCTGCTAATATAGTTATATAGTTATAATACTCACAATGTATTCTAAAATCCCTTTAAGCCCTTTAGTAGGCTGGCTTCACTGTTGTAATGTAATGACCTACATCTTTGCATGGCCTTAGAAATCCCCTTCGAGCCATTTTGTAGGCTGGCTTCACTGTTGTAATGTAATGACCTACATCTTTGCATGGCCTTAGAAATACAACATCCAGAGCCGACTAGCGTGCAAAGTGCCTGTTCATGTTTGACATGACACGATGACAGACAAACACGGCACGGCACATTCATTTCTTGTTCTTCACCGTCCCACCAAGCCTGTCTGAGTTCCTTCTGCACAACATAACGCGACAATGAATACTTCGTTATGACAATTAATTTCGACTATTGGCTGTAAAAATGAACTTCTATTGTACATATGTATTATATACATGCCTGTAGTTATAAATCCAGATTAATGTATTGACTAAAAGTTGTTGAAAAGTTAACAAAAAAAAATTAGACAAAGTTTCAAGATAGTTTACGCATAAATCAATGGTACTACAAAATATTACTTTTTAATTATTATGTAGTTATTCTCACGGGAAAGAACCAGTGGACATTTCGAACCGCTAATGTTTTTAACTATCTAATCCCTCAACTTGTTTATGCGCGCGAAATTTGAATCGAGGAAATCCGTACTGGGAATTGCGACAAAATCCTTTTTTTTTGTGTCTTTATCACTTTACCTTTAAATTATTACTCATACAAGGATTATAATAGCTACAATAATACTTTGTGACAACTGTTTGTTTTCTACTGATTTTTGTAAAGTACAGAAGACTTGAGTCTAGTTTTTAGGGGGAAGAAATCCCGGGGGGGGGTACTCCCCTATATTTGCTATACGGGTATTTGCCGCCCTATATAGGGTATGGTTTTTCGGCTTTTGGGTCTGTGGTAGGGTATCATTTTTTGACTTTTTGTCTGGGATAGGGTTACGATTTGGTCGTTTTATCCTGGGATAGAGTTAACGATTTGGTCGTTTTTGTCTGGCGAATAGGCAACACTTTCTGACGGCACCAAAACAATAAAAACGTTAGTAAATATTGATTGTAATCTATTGACTAACCGGGTTTAGTCTGGGGTAGGGTATGTAAAATCAAAATTTTATTTCTGGGATAGGGCCAGGATTTCGTGGTCCTGGCGGCACACCCCTGGCAGTTGTAGTACCCCCCCCCCCCCCCCGGGGGAAGAAATCAATGGTTTGGAAGATATATTTCTTGCGTACTTCCTATATTCACTCCAAACATCACTGAAAAGAACGATGATAAGATTTTGCTTTAATAATCTTTAATAACGGTGAAACGGAGTATGAAACACATTTCGATTATATCCTTTTATTACAGAACTGAATACCATTTGATATAATATTCCTACAGAATGATATCGAATTCCAATACATTTTGGCATACAATAATTTGCATAGAGGTTTTGCACCATCACGTGCCGGCGCCATAATCCAGCTTGGTCTGCCTGTGGTTAGATGGCAGAACAATAAAATCCCTGTGCTCTCGGGATTGAATTCTTTCTCATGTAAAACGATTTTATCGTTCCTGACATCTAACATGGCTGCCGTCACGTGATGGTGCAAAACCTCTATTGGGCCAATAACAGGAGCGCCTTAATTATCAAAAACAATTGTAGTATGTCACCATAAATTCTTTCCATCGTGTTAAGCCTGTGTACAGCCGCTTCTCAACCCTCCTCCCTACGGGCAAAAAACGGGACGAAGCTATTCTGTTATGCTCAACAAACAACCAATGTACTTTATGAGGGATTAGCGCCCATTCGTTTTCTGTATCGACTGCTTCTGATTGCAACTTCCAGAATTGGCATTTCCGAGGTTGCGCAAAAAAACTGGCAATAAGTTAGACGCGCGGTGAATCGTGGGGCTGTTTTAGGGATACATTTTGTAAATGTGACTCGATTTAAAAACTAAAACGTGTAAAACAACAACAACAAAAAAGACAAATGGTATCCTTAAAACAGCCGCATGAATCAGCATACGTCCTACTCTTTACCAGTTGTCTGCGCAACCTCGGTAAGGCCAATAAGTAGTTTGGCACTATTTACATTTTTTTACCAATCACTTCTATTCATTCTGGATATATTCTTGCATTTACAAAGTTTATGGAGGGGATTAGGGTACATCATGATGGAACTACTGGAGAGTACTTCATGCAATAGGCAGGCCTAGAGAAGACACAATCCCACGTTCCTCTCAGCCCGATTGGTCTCACTCAAATCCAGGCAGTAACCAAAAGAACGGTCGTCTGTCTTTGATTGATCTGTGAAGTCACCGCTGCAGCGCTTCTTTTGCCCACTTTTAGTCTTACAACTGTGCCCAATCTTAATACTCCATACACATTTTGCACACTCACATCTAGATACTTACATATATCATTCTAAACACTCATGTTCATTATATATGACCCTGTTCACTTTTTAAACCTTTCCTGTACTTAAATTATTTTCAGTGATATGGACAGCTTTACCAGCCATTTTCTTTTTTCTGTGGATATCAATACGATTCTTAGCCAGAGTGGTTAGTCTGCCATTGGTAGTCTTCCTGCCTTGATTATGTGATTTATGGCATGCAGGGTCCTACAATTTCTTGTTCTTCTTACTTCTTTCCTCTAACTTGCTTATCTAAAGCACGGCGAAAAAGGAAAGATCAGTTAGTTAGTACTGTAATCTTCCCCGCCTTCAAATGAAACCCGGAAAGATTTTACTTCAATCTTAATAAACATGCGAACTCTGTGTCTGCGAGCTGCACGCTGAAATTTGGTTTTTTCGCTGCCGTCAATCAAACCTAATCAGTCGGTACCTATCGTAAAACATATCGTCTTATACCCGCCCCGCCAAACCCCACATTTACACACCAGTTGATTCACTACTGCACAAATCTATTTGAAGGTATACTGTGAGTTTCTCTATCAACGAACATCTGTCCCGCGGGACATCTACATGGTACTTGTGCTTACTGAGGGTGGACACATCCATTTGAAGATACATTGGTTTTCTCTACTGTCCCACACCTTAGAGTCCCGCGGGAGACTTGTACCCTGCACATGTAAGATCAATGAACATACCGGGGGTGGACACATCCATTGGAAATACACTGGTTTCCCCTATTTCCCAGACCTCAGAGTCCCGCGGGACACTTGTACTCTGCGCATGTAAGGTCAATGTACTTACCGGGGGTGGACACATCCATTTGAAGATACACTGGTTTTCTCTATCGTCCCAGACTTGTCCAGCAGGACATCTACACCCAGGTAGACAATGCTGGTTTGCACAAGCTGCGGTCGGGTCATCCTTGTTTTTACACGTCTTCTTACATGCTGGAACACAATCGTCAAACACAGAGCCCCCTTTGCAGACAACCCCTATTAATAAGATGACATCGCTTAATTTTGCAATTTCATGATGGGTAACCTGTGTCCTTTCTCCCCAAAAAGAAAGAAATAATGTTCAAGGGAGAAACGCGTGGTCTGGAATAAGAAGACATTAAAGAAAATTAACTTGTACTAATCAATACTCACCACATGCTCTTCGCCTTCCCCATCTTACATCAACACCCATTCGTCTACACGCACGTGCATATGCAAGTAGGGCTTCACACTCGCATCTTTTACTCTGACACGAACACACGTCACTGATGCAAGATTTGTAGTATCTATGAGGGTGCACACTCGTGTGACAGTTTGAAAAATGACTTTTAATTGGCCAGCAACGCTTCCTCGCACGCCAGTGATGTAGGGGACTACGACGGCACTTTGTGACTGCGGTATCTATCGGTGGAGCAGGCGCTCTCTCGCAGTCGTTTCTTCTTCTTCCAATTGCCCAATTTTCTCCAAACTCATTCGCTGAGGCTGCAATTTTGCCATTTTTTAGAGTAAAATCGTCTGCCGAGTTTCCATTGAAGTTTCCGCACAGTCCACAGGTCCTTGCCTTGAATCTCTTGGGAACGTGAACTTCAATATAGCTATCCCCATCCCATAACACCTCCAGCCCAATCTTAGTAAGTACAGTGATAACGAAATTCTTTTTTGTGATTTGCAAATCTGGTAATCTATAGAACGGTAATTTTACGTCACTGCGATTAACTCTCACTGCTAGACTTCGGTGAAGTGAGATGTGGGTTGGACCAATGGTAATCGTCAGGGACTTGGCACGTGATCTGGTCTGACGACGCTCATTGCGCACGCGCACCGTAAAGTTTTCCTGTTTGCAATCTGAAGCCAGACGGTAGCGACAGTTTCCTTGGAAATTAAACATTTTTCCATCGAATGTTTGGTAATGAGGATATCCATACGATGTACAGACACCAGTTTCTGTGGAGAAAAATTCCAGCCGCGTTAGAGGGGTTCTTATTAGAGTAGATTTCGCTTTAAACTAACTGCACGGCACGGTAATGGTACGCAATGCACCAATACGGGGTAGTTTTCCCAATGGGATATAGAATATCCCCTACAGACAAATTCAAATTCAGTAGGTTTTTTTTAGTAATTATCGATTTTTTTCCCTAATAGTACCTTAAGAATGCGTTTATTCTAAGACAGACATTTACATTTTTCAGCAATCGGTGTCAGTTCTAATGCTGCATATCTGAAACACATTTTAGCTTGTCCGACGTAGCAACAGTAATTAGGGAGGTAGAATAGTGAATTTGGGATCGGTGAATTTTAAACATTCAGAGCGTGCGAGATCACTTAACACTAATCATACACTTAAAAAGCAAAAACACGACAACGCTACGTTCGGCACTGCACGTACGAAATCTACTCTTCACAAAACAACTTTACAACTTTACGACTTTACGACTTTACAACTTTACGACTTTTCGACTTTACAACTTTACGACTTTACAACTTTACAACTTTACGACTTTACGACTTTACGACTTTACAACTTTACGACTTTACGACTTTGTGACTTTACAACCTTACGACTTTACAACCTTACGACTTTACAACTTTACGACTTTACAACTTTACAACTTTACAACTTTACGACTTTACAACTTTACGACTTTACAACTTTACGACTTTACAACNACTTTACGACTTTACAACTTTACAACTTTACAACTTTACGACTTTACAACTTTACGACTTTACAACTTTACGACTTTACAACTTTACGACTTTACGACTTTACAACCTTACGACTTTACAACTTTACGACTTTACAACTTTACAACTTTACAACTTTAC